GAGTCCGTGCATTTAACCACTACACCAAACTAAGCCAAGCCTAACTGAATAAAGGCGGACAAAAGGAAACACTGCTTTACACTGCGAGTGACCATAAGGTAGACGTTGCTGCCAGAGGATGCAGTGATTGCCACAGGAATGAACAGGTTTAAAAGGGGATTAGATAGATTCATGGAGGATATGGCTATCAATGGTGACTGAGGGGAACATCCACATTCAGAGGCACTAAGCCTCTGAATACCAGAGTCAGGAGGCGTCAGAGGAAGGCCTCAGCCACCATGCCCTGTTGTTGGCCCTCCAGAGGAACTGGCTGGCCCCTGTGTGAGACAGGAGGCTGGACTAGATGGACCCCCCCTGGTCTGATCCAACAGGGCTCTTCTTATGTTCTTATCAGGGGAAGGCCTCGGCCTCTCTGCCCTGTCGTTGGCCCTCCAGAGGAACTGGTTGGCCCCTGTGTGAGACAGGAGGCTGGACTAGATGGACCCTCACTGGTCTGATCCAGCAGAGCTCTTCTGAGGTTCTTATCAGGGGAAGGCCTCGGCCTCTCTGCCCTGTTGTTGGCCCTCCAGAGGAACTGGTTAGCCCCTGTGTGAGACAGGAGGCTGGACTGGATGGACCCTCACTGGTCTGACCCAGCAGGGCTCTTCTGATCCAGCAGGCCTCTTCCATCTTCTGATGGCTTTATGAGATCTGAGGGCACGCAAGTGACGATTTTGAAAGCGGCTCTAAGCGACATGCCCAAATCCATAACCCCCCCCACCCCCAAAACAGGAGGAGCTTCAAAAAGAAAACAGGAAAGGATACAAGCCGGGTCATCCATATTAGGTTCCGGGGTGTCAAAGAAAGGGTGGGTCCCCAGCAGTTCGGGAACAAGGGGGAGCACCAGCGTGGGGTGCCTGCCCCCCAGGAACTTCAAGCACCTGCGAAGACACAGATCAAGAGCCGTGAGCGCCTGAACTCTGCAACAGAGTTCTCACCCCAGATAACCCCAGAACAAAAGAGCTGGGACCAGACCCAGTGGGGTAAAAGGAGTGTGACGACAGCACCCAACCCTTCAGCCTTTCTCGAGCTAAGAGGCCGGTGCCCCATCAGTTCCACGCACAGGAGATGAGCCAGATTTTTTTATTATTTTTAAAAAACATTTTATTATCTGGATATAACAACATGTCCAACATTAAAATCTTTCTTCATTCACAATATAGCCTTTTTTCTCTTCATTCTCCCTCCCCCTCCCATGGCTTCCCGCAGTGCTCCCACCCCCTTCTTATCCTACTTCTTTTATCTATTATTTCTCTAATACAAAACTTTATAAGTAACATTTTCTTTGACGACTATCAGTACATATTCATCTATATAGGTAACATTTCTTCTAACTATCATCATCAATGTTCCCTCTTAGCTGTGGAGTCCTGTGAGCAGAAATTCTACTTTGTGAGCTACTGGCATTAAAGTTGTGAGCAAGTGATTTGGCTACTGCATAAATTAGTTTGCTCTGGAGCCATCCTTCCTGAGCAGAGAAAAAAAGCTGTGAGCCGGAGGCTAAAATACTGTGAGCTAGCTCACACTAACTCAGCTTAGGGGGAACACTGCATGTAGCAGTTATCTAGAACAGTGGCTGGTTCTGAGATTTTTAGTAGGATCATTTAGAAACATATATGCAACCCATTTGTCAAATCATATCCTGTCCTGATGTTTTTGGAGACAGACATTTGAACAGGCAGAGCTATTGTCTGCAGCAGGGTGGTGGTGGTGGGGACTCTTCTCTAACAGACCACAATATCTCAGTCCAAAAGCTAGTCTCATTGTATCTGCTATGATCTGCTTCCAGAGAGAATGGCAGATGCTGAATCCTGCTAGGGAACCCTAATCCGTAAAAGCATGTAGGTGGTAGATTAGAAAGAGACCATCTGTCCATGCTTGGTGATACACTGTTCACTTTTATTACTTTGTATGGTCCATGGGTGAATTTCCATACTGAAATCGAGTTGTACTGTTCCCTGGTAAACCAGGGGTCAAAGTATGCCCCGGCTACTATAAGTACATTTCAAAATTTTTTGCATCTCATTGTGGACCTCCGTCCAAAAATTCACTGCTTTTTCACAAGTCCACCTGGAGATGAGACAGATTTGACTCCGGCAGCACCTTAAAGACACACTAAGATCTCCAGGGCATCAGCTTTCCGAGAATCAAAAGCTCCTTTTGTTGGATGCAACTCAGAATGGAGATCCCTATCTGATAAAGGGAGCTTTGGCTCTCAGAAAGCTGATACCCTGGAGATCTTAGTGTTAAAGGTGCCACTGGACAACTGCAGGCCAACACAGCTGTCATTAAAACCTGGAATTTGCTGCCAGAGGACGGAGTGATGGCCACGGGAATAGACGGCTTGAAAGGGGGACTGGATAGACTCACGGAGGAGAGGTCTATCAGTGGCTACTAGCCATGGTGACTGAAAGGATCCTCCATGTTCAGAGGCACTAATCCTCTGAATCCCAGAGCCAGGAGGTAACCTCAGGGGAAGGCCTCGGCCTCTCTGCTATCTTGTTGGCCCTCCAGAGGAGCTGGGTGGCCCCTGTGTGAGGCAGGATGGTGGACTAGATGGACCCTCACTGGTCTGATCCAGCAGGTCTGTTCTGATGTTCCTATCAGGGGAAGGCCTTTCTGCCCCATTGTTGGCCCTCCAGAGGACCAGGTTGGCCACTGTGTGAGACAGGATGCTGGATTAGAGGGACCCTCATTGGTCTTATCCAGCAGAGCTGATGTTCTTATCAGGGGAAGGCCTCAGCCTCCATGCCCTGTTGTTGGCCCTCCAGAGGAACTGGTTGACCCCTGTGTGAGGCAGGATGGTGGACTAGATGGGCCCTCATTGGTCTGATCCAGCAGGGCTCTTCTGATGCTCTTATCAGGGGAAGGCCTCAACCTCCATGCCCTGTTGTTGGCCCTCCAGAGGAACTGTGTGACCGAAGTAGTAACAAAAAAACTGTGCAGGAACCGTCTTCACTTGTATTTGATATGTTATGCAAATATTGTACACTCTTTTGTATGAAACGCTTTTGATTAACATTTCAAATTTATTAGCGCAAATTCCTGCACAGTTTTTTTGTTACCAGGGGTCATTTCCTGCAGGAGCGCACAGGAGCGGAGCTCCGGCAGTAAAGAGTCCAGGGGGCGGGCACATGCAACAAGCCCCGCCCCCTGCTCCCAGCAGCCCTCAGTCAGAGCAAGAAGCAGCCAGGTAAGTTGCAGAGCCCCCGTTCCCCCAGTCCAAAACAGTCCAGTGGCACCTTTAAGACCAAGTTTTATTCAGGTACAAGCTCTCCCTCCTCTGTGAGGACAGATCTGCACGTTCCCGTCCCCCCAATAGCTAGCAATCCAAAACAGTCCAGTGGAGCCTGAGCAGTGGGTGTTGTCTTCTGATACACTTCCGGTGATGTCAGGGGGTGTGGCATATGCAAACGAGTTATGCTAATAAGTTATGCTAATAAGCTCCTGCACCTCTTTTTCTATGAAATGACCCCTGTTTGTTACTACTTCGGTCTGTTTAGGGACTGCGGTCATCAGCTTCAGACATGGCCACTGTGTGAGACAGGATGCTTGACTTAATGGAGCACTGGTCTGATCCAGCAGGGCTCTTCTTAGGTTCCTATCAGGGGAAGGCCTCGGCCTCTCTGCCCTCCAAAGGAACTGGTTGGCCCCTGTGTGAGACAGGATGCTGGACTAGATGGACCCTCACTGGTCTGATCCAGCGGGGCTCTGCGTATGTTCTTACCCACCTGACACTTAGTCAGGGGATGACCAGTGAGGTCTCCAGGCAAGAGGAATTGTGTAAATTCATTTTTTTGAATAACGTTAAGTTATACATTCTGCAAATTGGAACCTCACCACCCTTTTAAGTCATTACAATTCTTATGGGGGGATGGGGGGGCAACGGCACTTACTTCCAGATGGAGTCCCTGTCAGTGGGATACTTGGTGAGGTTTTTCAGGAGTTCCGCCAGGGCGAGGTGGATTCCCTCTTTTGTCGAGACGTTGGTGCAACACAGCAGTTCGTGGAGAGCCTCCCGTATATCTCGGGAAGAGTCCTATGGCGAGACACACATAGAAAGAACATTAGCATCTGTTAATGTCATTTGGCATCGGAAATCACTCCACTTCCAATATACAGGATAGACGGACTCGCATTCTAGCTAGGAGTGAGCAGTGATTCACGAAAGCTCACTCCCTGCCACAAATTTTGTTCGTCTTTAAGGTGCTCCTGGACTCTTGCTCTTTTCTCCTGCTGCAGACAAACACGGCTGCCTATCTTGATCTGTCTCCATCGAAGGCACCACATTTAGCCGTACAGAATGGAAATCCGTCAACCTTGTGATAGAAGGACACATGGGCTCTCATTCTAGCTGTATCTGAAGAAGTGAGCAGTGGCTTAGGATGGAAAGCTCCTCCCCTGCCACATAAGAACATAAGAGATGCCAATGTTGGATCAGGCCAAAGGCCCATCCAGTCCAACACTCTGTATCACACAGTGGCCAGAAATACCAGGGGCCATCAGGAGGTCCACCAGTGGGGCCAGGACATTAGAAGCCCTCCCACTGTTGACCCCCCCAAGCACCAAGATGACAGAGCATCACTTGTCCCAGAGTCCCTATCTATACCTTGTGGCTAATAGCCACTGATGGACCTCTGCTCCATATGCTTATCTAATTCCCTTTTGAAGCCGTCCACAAATTTTGTTAGTCTTTAAGGTGCTCCTGGACTCTTGCTCTTTGTTGCTGGTACAGAAAGAGTAACATGCCTGTCCATCTTGACCTGTCTCCATGGAAGGCAGCACATTTAGCCATACAGAATGGAAATCCATCAACCTTGTGATATAAGGATCCACAGACTCTCCTTCTAGCTGTATCTGAGGAAGTGAGCAGTGACTCATGAAAGCTCCTCCCCTGCCACAAATTCAGTTAGCCTTTAAGGTGCTCCTGGACTCTTGCTCTTTTCTACTGCTGCAGACAGACTAACACGGCTACCCACGTAAGCACATTGTAAGACTGTAAGCACTTACACATGCCGTAAGACTGTAAGCATGTCCCAAACCTCTATGTACAAATCAAATTATAAGACTGTAAGCACGTTCCAAACCTCTGTGTACAAATCAAACCGGGGAAGGGAGGGAGGAGAGCTACGGGCTAGCTACCCAAAGAGGGAAAGCGTCAAAGCCTACATGGAGAATTCTTGGTCTAACAGCGACCCGGGAAGTGTTCCCAAGAGGAAAGACTTGCCTCCAAGACCCCGAGCACCATGTCTAGCTGGTCCTCCCGGAGAGTGATGTTGTTGGAAATCTTCCTCATGGTGTGAATCGACTTCAGCCGCACCTCTTCTATCTCGTCGTTGAACATGTCGACCAGGAAATCGAGACACTTCTCCGCAAAAGAGGGCGAAGACTGGGCCAGCATGCAGAGGGCTTCCACCGCGGCGATCCGGACCTCTGGAAGTGGCACAGAGAGGCAAGACATGATGCCGAGAAATGAAGCCAACGCAGAAGGGGTGGAGGGGGTAAAATCAGGATCCGTCAGGCACTTTAGCCCAAAGGAGGGCTGGCTGGAGTTATTCTCTAGCCCGCTGACACCTTTCCCTGTGCCTGACAAGTGTTTTTAGAAGACGAGAAGAAGAGGAGGAGACTGGATTTTTACCCCGCCCTTCACTACCCAAAGGAGCCTCAGAGCGGCTTGCTATCTCCTTTCCCTTCCCCTCCCCACAACAGACACCCTGTGAGGTAAAAGAAGAAGAAGAAGGCGATTGGATTTATACCCCGCCCTTCACTACCCAAAGGAGTCTCAGAGCGGCTCACAAACTCCTTTCCCTCCCCCTCCCCACAACAGACACCCTGTGAGGTAAAAGAAGAAGAAGAAGGCGATTGGATTTATACCCCGCCCTTCACTACCCAAAGGAGTCTCAGAGCGGCTCACAAACTCCTTTCCCTCCCCCTCCCCACAACAGACACCCTGTGAGGGAGGCGGGGCTCAGAGAGCTCTTTCGAGGACTTCTTGGAAGAGGCAGTTTTTAAAATGGCATTCAAGAATGTCATCAGACGGGCTTCCACGTACCGTACATCTCGTCCTCGAGGCCGTGGACAAAAGCTCCGCATGCACCCGATTCTATTAAGTTCACGGCCCCCGTGTCTACTTCTTCTTTGGGAGCGTCGTCTCCCCATTTCCTGCCGCTCGAGAATTCACCGGAGCTGTAAAGCTCCTTGGCTCGTTCATGGGCTGTGAGTCTTCTCTGTAGACGAAACAGACACAAGAACATACGAAGAGCCCTGATGGATGAGACTAGTGGTCCATCTAGTCCAGTGTCCTGTCTCACGCAGTGGCCAACCAGCTCCTCTGGAGGGCCATCAACAGGGCATGAAGGCTGAGGCCTTCCCCTGATAGGAACATAAGATGAGCCCTGCTGCATAAGACCACTGGTCCATCTAGTCCAGCATCCCGTCTCACACAGTGGCCAACCAGTTCCTCTGGACAGCCAACAACAGGGCGTAGATGCCGAGGCCTTCCCCTGATAGGAACATAAGATGAGCCGTGCTGCATAAGACCACTGCTCCATCTAGTCTGGCATCATAAGAACATAAGAGATGCCAATGTTGGATCAGGCCAAAGGCCCATCCAGTCCAACACTCTGTATCACACAGTGGCCAGAAATACCAGGTGCCATCAGGAGGTCCACCAGTGGGGCCAGGACATTAGAAGCCCTCCCACTGTTGACCCCCCCAAGCACCAAGAAGACAGAGCATCACTTGCCCCAGAGCGCCTATCTATACCTTGTGGCTAATAGCCACTGATGGACCTCTGCTCCATATTATTTATTATTTATTTATTTATTAATTCAATTTCTATACCGCTCCATCCCGGAGGCTCTGAGCGGTTTACATGGGTATTTAAACTTCCTAACTAGGGCCACATGTAGGGTAGGTGATTGCCTACCAGGCACCCCGCCGGCTTTTTTTTTTTTAATATTCCTGTGGCTTCCTCGTGGTGGTCGCAACCCCCTCACCCGGAAGTGACGCGACCACGCCGGGTACGCTAGGGGCGGGGCCACGACCATCCGAGCAAAAACCACTCTGGGGCGGGGTTTTCCCTGCCCCCCGGGAGGACTTGGCAAGCCTAGATCAGACCAGTGAGAGTTCATCTAGTCCAGCGTCCTGTCTCACACAGTGGCCAACCAGTTCCTCTGGAGAGCCAACAACAGGGCACAGAGGCTTCAGTGTGAGACAGGATGCTGGACTAGACAGACTACTGGTCTCATCCATCAGGGCTCTTTATGTCTCCCAGAAGGCCTCGGCCTCTCTGCCCTATTGTTGGCCCTCCAGAGGAACTGGTTGGCCACTGCGTGAGACAGGATGCTGGACTAGACAGACTACTGGTCTCATCCATCAGGGCTCTTTATGTCTCCCAGAAGGCCTCGGCCTCTCTGCCCTATTGTTGGCCCTCCAGAGGAACTGGTTGGCCACTGTGTGAGACAGGATGAACACATATTTTAACTATCCACACATATTTTAACTACCCACACATTGATTGGGTCAATATGTGTTCTAGTCGAGAGAAAGAGATTGAGTTTCTAGACACTCTAAATGACTGTGCCATGGAGCAGATGGTCACGGAACCTACCAGGGGAGAGGCGATCCTTGATTTGGTCCTAAGTAACACTCAAGACCTGGTGAGAGATGTAAAAGTGTTTGCACCGCTTGGGAACAGTGATCATAATGTTGTTGAGTTCAACATTTGTATAAATAGGGAATTGGCCAAAAAGACTGACACAACCACTTTTAACTTTAAAAGGGGTAACTTCTCTGATATGAGGGGACATGTGAGGAGGAGTCCCCCGCTCCAGCGCCGCTTCTGACTTGGCAACCCTAGTCTGATCCAACAGGGCTCTTCTGATGTTCTTAAAACCACCCTTGAACATCTCGTGCCTTGAGAACCCTACAGGGTTGCCATAAGACAGCCCCCCCGAAAAGATTACATTGTAAACTGCCTTGAGATCCGTAAGGAAGCAAAGCGGCTGATAAATGTTTTAAATAAACAAATAATAAAACTTTGTGGGAAATTTGTATGCCGCTTCTCCAAAGAACCTGCTTAGGCAGCTTCCAAAATACGACTGGGCCGCAAACCAGGAAGAGCCTACGAGGCATTTCTCCTGTGCCGAAAAAGCAAAGGAATGCACCCCCATACAAATGCTGTCAACCTAGATGAGCGAGGCGTCGTTTCCAAGGAAAGGGGGGGGGGAACGACTCATTACTAGGCGACAAAGACTTCAGGGACGCAGATGCCGTTCACGTTTCACTGGCTTCCAAGGATGCCGACTTCCAGCTGCCTCTGGGCTCAGGAATCTACGTGGGGGCCGTTGAAAAGAAACCCACTCCTCCAAGTTTCAGCCTGCCAGAATCAGGACTCGCCCCTCTCCCCCTCCCCGACGAAAAAAAGGGCACACGCGTTTCCGTACCCGCAGGTCAGACATCAGTTTCTTGTCCAGGGTCTGTTCTAAGAAGTGAGAACTGACTTGCTGCATGGATCCCTAGAGAAAGGGCAGAAGCGGCAAAGTTAGAAACAAGGCAATTTGGAATATGGTGCAGGTAAAGTTCATGCCCCTACCTGGATGGCCCAGGCTACCCCAGTCTTGCCAGATCTTGGAAGCTAAGCAGGATTGGCCCTGGTGAGTACTCAGATGGAAGAGGAAGAGGAGGAGGAAGAAAAGGAAGAAGAAGAGGAGGAAGAGAAAGAGTTGGATTTGTGCCCCGCCCTTCACTCAGAGTCTCAGAGCGGCTTACAATCTCCTTCCCTTCCTCTCCCCACAACAGACACCCTGTGAGGAAGGTGGGGCTGAGACAGCTTTTTCGAGGAATGCTCTTGAGAGAACAGCTTTGCGAGAACTGTGGCTTACCCAAGGTCACACCAGCAGCTGCATGTGGAGGAGTGGGGAATTAGAGTCCGCCACTCTTAACCACTACACCAAACTGCAAGACCACCAAGGGTGTCCAGGGTGTTGACAGGTATAAGTCTTCAGTACGCGTGATCATGCCAATCTAATTGACAGGTGTCTGACAGTCTGGAGAACCAGCACAAACCAGTTCTGACTGGAGCTAAGCTGAGCTATCTCACTGTGACTCAGCAGTAAGCTGATTGGCTGGTCAAGTGTATATAAGTGTATGTAGTCTGTACACTGCATTCCTTCTATTTGTATGAGCATATGGCGGAGCACTTTGACGGAGAGAGCTGTAAATATATTGTAAATAAATCACTGTACATAGTTAACCACAAGAACTGTGTGAGTGTGGTTTACTGCAGTGAGGTCTTAGCAGGGTGCAATTTGGATCTTTGGCTGAAAGCTGACCCGGTGACGCACACTGCGCGACACAGGGTTGCAGTGCCGGGTTGCAGTGCAGGCAGGCAATAGCATTCTACCTCTAGTCATCTGCCCTGACCTGGATGGACCAGGCTAGCTGGATCTCATCAGATCTCAGAAGCTAAGCAGGGTCAGACCTGGTTAGTACTTGGATGGGAGACCACCTAGGAAGTCCAGGGTTGCTACGCAGAGGCAGGCAATGGCAAACCACCTCTGTTTGTCACTTGCCTTGAAAATCCTATGGGGGTGTGTGTCCTGATCTGTGTAGGCCTCTGGAGATCTGTGCAGGACTGGGCCTAGTGAGGCCTCAGAGACCTGCCTGGGAGTGGGAAGCAGAAGCCTACAGTCCCCACAAGGCTTTGTGCCAGCTGTAACCAATGGGGGTCCAGGAATTCTCTGAGGAGATTGTTTATATACTCCTGCCCAGTACTGTAATAATAAACCCTTTTTGTTTAATTGTTTCTCTGCCTGGTCATCACGCTTACGTTTCTCGGCTACAAAGGGGCAATTTGAAGGGGCTTGGGAAGGTACCCTGGGCCTTCTCAAGGGACCTAAGTCCAGGGTGGTGGCGGCAGAAGGTGGCAACCCGCTGGGGTCATGACAGGGCCCCCAGCATCATTTAATGGGCCTGAACAATAAGACGTTGGAAATAGTATCTTAAAAAGAGCCCTGCCAAAAAGCGACTGTGTATCCATTTCATGTTTTGGTGTGTGTGTTTCTTTAATAGTTTAGTGTGACTGCAGTAATGTAAGGAGAGTGATAGAGGGAGATAAGTGTGATGTGATTGGCTGATGCCCGAGAGTGTGAGAGGAGAGATGTCTCTGAGGGACGAGTGTGGAGAGTTTTTGTGAGAGTCTGTATGACAGAGGAAGCAGTTGGAGTTTAGCCTGTGTGGCTATAAGCGAGAGAGTTTAGCCTGTGTGGCTATATGAGAGAGAAAGAGAGAGATAAGCCTGTCAGAGTTGATTTTTGGTGTATGAGAGACTGTGTGTAACATCAAGCCTTCTCAGTTATATTTTCTTTCTTCAACAACAGTTCAAACATATCCAGAAACCTATTTTGTTCTTTAATGAATAAATCATTATTTGTTTAAACTTATTCCAGAAATCAGAACAGTCCTTCCTCAGGGCCACATAGTCCTCTGAAGCGCCCAGACACTGGGTCATTCTACCAAAATAGAGAGATTTGGAATTTTTAATTCCTCGTGGCAGCAGAAATCTACTAAGTTCAAGTACACAGAGTGTGTTTTAAAGGAGAAACCATCTCCCCAATAAGCAGGACCTCACAGCCTGATATAACTCTTTGGCACAAAAAACTTAGGGAACATTATATCATGGCAAAGTTGTCTGATAAAATAGCACAATCCTACCAGCATTCTAGTCACTCTAATTTTGTATCAATATTGTTTCTTATTTTAGAATACTTGGTTCAACAAGAAGAAATACCACATGAAGTTAATGACCTTCAGAAATACCAAATGAAGTTAATGATTGTTGTAACTCTCCGAAGGTGTATGTGTATTATATCAAGACACATGGTTAAACACCGATACGATCTACTGACAGTGCTATTATTTGATACGTATAACGTACCCAGTGACTTTATGTAGTTCAGTTCTTTTTTGCTTGTTATTGTTGATGTTATTTCAATTTTTAAAAATTGTAAAAGAGAGAGAGACAGAGAGAGAGCTCAGCCAGCAGGTCTGTCATCTACAAAGACACCAGTTTAAACAGCTGGGCAGGGAGAGGTACGGATATCCGGGATGGGGCCATGGGGAGGAAGAGGATGAGCTTCAGAGGAAAGCGGCGGCCAGGGAGAGAAAGGAAGGGAGCGTGAAAGAGAAGTAATCCAGGGCTCAGCTCATAATGAAAAAGAGATCAGGCGCGAGAAGAGAGCAAACAAAGGAGGAACAAAAGAGACGGAACAATACGTGCTTCTGAAAGAACTGACGGCAAACCTCACGCTGAATCCGCCTGAAGCAGGAAGCAATCGGGTAGAACAAATCCAGCCATTTTAAAATACGCTCATAAATAGCATAGTAACTGGAGACTCAAAGTAAAAAAAGGGGGACAAGAATTAGAAGAAGATTGGATTTATACCCTGCCCTTCACTACCTGAAGGGAATCTCAGAGCAGCTTTCTATCTCCTTTCCCTTCACCTCCCCACAACAGACACCCTGTGAGGGGCTGAGAGAGCTCTTGACAGAAACGGCTCTTTTTCAAGAACAGTCCTTATCAGTACTATGGTTTGCCCAAGGTCATCCTGCAGCTGCAAGTGGAGGAGTGGGGAATCAAACCCGGTTCTCCCAGATTAGAGTCCACGCACTTAACCACTACACCAAACCGGTGTACAAATTACAAAGGGTCTTGCTGGAAATGTAAAGAAGTAGATGGCAGTTTTTATCATATGTGGTGGACTTGCAGCAAGACAGAAAGATACTGGGAAAATAAACATGAAGAGATTCAAAATATTTTAAAAAACAAATTCCCAATGAAAGCAGAGACTGGGAATCCAACCAGACAATATAGAAAGAACTTCACAAGACCTACTTAGATATCTGTTGACATCTGCCGAAGTAATATTTGGAATGAAATGGAAGACAGAAGACTGTCCTATGATAGAGAGCTGGGAAGGAAAACTAGCTGAGTATGCAGCACTGGCAAAACTAACCAATTATATAAACATAAGAACACAAGAGACGCCAATGTTGGATCAGGCCAAAGGCCCATCCAGTCCAACACTCTGTGTCACACAGTGGCCAGAAATACTAGTGCCATCAGGAGGTCCACCAGTGGGGCCAGGACATTAGAAGCCCTCCCACTGTTGACCCCCCCAAGCACCAAGAAGACAGAGCATCACTTGCCCCAGAGTCCCTATCTATACCTTGTGGCTAATAGCCACTGATGGACCTCTGCTCCATATGCTTATCTAATTCCCTTTTGAAGCCGTCCATGCTTGTATCCGCCACCACTTCCTGTGGCAGTGAATTCCATGTGTTAATCACTCTTTGGGTGAAGAAGTACTTCCTTTTATCCGTTCTAACCCGACCGCTCAGCAATTTCACGGAGAAAGGGAGAAAAGTACCTCTTTCTCTACCTGCTCTTTCCCATGCATAATCTTATAAACCTCAATCATGTCACCCCTCAGTCGTCGTTTCTCCAAGCTAAAGAGCCCTAAGCGCCTTAACCGTTCCTCATAGGGAAAGTGTTCCAACCCTTTTATCATTCGAGTTGCTCTTTTCTGCACTTTTTCCAAAGCTATAATATCCTTTTTAAGGTGTGGTGACCAGAACTGCACACAGTATTCCAAATGAGGTCGCACCATTGATTTATATAGCGGCATTATGATATTGGCTGATCTGTTTACAATACCCTTCCTAATAATCCCCAGCATAGCATTGGCCTTCTTTATTGCAGTCACACACGTATCGTACCCACCCAACGCACAAACACAGAAAAAGACGGAACTTACCAACAGCTTCGCAGCCTGGACTCTCACCACCCATGAGCCGTCGCTGACCATGTGGCAAATCTTCCCAAATGCGTCGTCGACCAGGCGGATTTCTTCGTTAGACGAGGCAATTGGGACGATGCTGGGGGGGCCATGCTGTTGTATAGTCATGCTGCAGCAAAATTTGTTCTCAGCTGCCAAATCAACAGAAAGTGGGAGATACTTTGCTTGGGAGGGGCCGTGGCTAAGGGGTTGTGTCTGCTTGGCATGCAGAAAATCCCAGGTTCGATTCCCTGGCACCTCCAGTTAAAAGGACCAGGCAGGAGATTATGAGAAAGACATCTGCCTGAGGCCCTGGCGTGCAGAAGGTCCCCGGTTCAACCCTCGGCATCTCCAGTTACAAGGACCAGGCAGGAGGTGATGCGAAAGACCGAGACCCTGTAGAGACATAGACGGGGGCTGTGGCTCAGTGGCAGAGCATCTTCTTGGCTCCCAGAAGGTCCCAGGTTCAACCCGTGCTATCACCAGCTAAAAGGACTAGGCAGGAGGTGATGTGAAAGACTTCCGCCTGAGACCCTACTGCTAGTCTGGACAGACAATGCTGACGTTGGTGAATGAAGGGTCTGATTCAGTCGAAGGCAGCTTGTGTGTTTAATTTTCAAAGAGGCCTGCGAACAGAGGAAGCAGGGGACAGACAGCATTCCCTAGCCTGGATGCTGGTCACCTTTCCTCTGACACGGGTCTCCAGATCACTGGCCCAGCAAAGAACTGGCCCGCCTGATGGCCCCCTCGGTTTTGGCCACTGTGTGACACAGAGTGTTGGACCGGATGGGCCACTGGCCTGATCCAACATGGCTTCTCTTAGGTTCTCTGTCTT